ATAAGAGTGGGCAAGAAAACTTTGTAGACGAAAATTTGACTTATAGCGTTTTTTTGCAGCTCAACACGATCACAACTCCGATAGGGTCCCATAAACCAGCCCAAAAACTCTCTTATTGCTTGAGGCGGACGGCGGAGCGGACAGAAAAAGCAGTAAGCCGAAAACAGCAGGCCGCAAATACATAAATAGTGATCAGCGATCGGTAGGCACAAAGCAACAATGAATAGGCAGCAACAACGGCGGCACTAGTAGTTCGGGTAGTACTTCATCTAAACGGGCTGACTCACAACCGGAGGCCGATGGTGCTGCCGCTGCTGTAACTATTGCGCCGTTGCCTTTGGCTCATGGTTACTGCTGTTATTGGCAATGTGTTGGCGCTTTTGTAGTGATGTTGGTGAAGTGGCAACATCCGCACAGAGTTGGTGAATCTGTGTATTGTTAATCGCAGCAAATTTTCAAGTGGTGAGTTCAGTTCGTGCTTGGTAGTCGATTGGATTTGAGCGGTGAACGGAGACTTTTGCAACTAGTATTTGAGTGCAGGAAACAATAAAAAAAAACAATAAGCAATTGAATGCGCGGGTTTTACAAGTTTCGACTAGAAACGATTAAGTGTGCTGAAAAGCAGTTTGAAGAATACTGTGTGCCTAAATTATTTATTTACATGTTCTATACAAGTGAGATTCAATATTTTTAAATTAAAAAATTATAATAAAAAAAAACATTGACAAAAAATATTTTATAATTAAAAAAATATCAATATCGTAAAGAAAGAATTAAATAATAATAATAAATAAATTTAAAGAATTAAACAGTATAAACATTTTTCTAATTTATATAAAGCATACAAAATGTTATAAAAATTTCTTGCAACAGTAACTAAATATTTTTTAAAATATTTTTATTATGCAAACAACGACGTTTTAGTTAGTTTAAGCAGAAAATACAAATGCGTAGTATGCGTGAAATATGCACTTTGTTAAATGCGCCTGTGCATGTTTCTTTTAGTAAAATGTGTCTAAAGTCTGGTTATCGTGCTGACAAAATCCGCGAATATTAAGCAACCGCAAAATCCCTGCTAAATCCAACGACACAGTCCGAGGCACGCAATAAATGCGATGCTCGAATGTGGTCACTTGGCCGATTTTACGATCCAACTAACAAATGTGCAAAGCAACAATATTTTAACTACTCGCTTAAACAAATTACGTAAATATTTGAGAGTAAATAAGAAAATAAAAATTAAAATATAACCAAAAATTGAAACCAGAATAAAAAACATATTAAAAACATACTAATAAAACAAAATTATATAACAAAAATTAAATTAAATTATAATAAAAAATAAATAAAATGCAAAAATAATATTAAATTTTATACTCCCGCAACTTGTTACTACAGAGTATAATAGTTTTGTTCACCTAACGGTTGTTTGTATCACCTAAAACTAATCGAGTTAGATATAGGGTTATATATATATGAATGATCAGGATGAAGAGACGAGTTGAAATCCGGGTGACTGTCTGTCCGTCTGTGCAAGCTGTAACTTGAGTAAAAATTGAGATATCTTAATGAAACTTGGTACACATGTTTCTTGGTACCGTAAGACGGTTGATGCTGCAGATGGGCGTAATCGGACCACTGCCTACAAAACGCCATTAATCAAAAACAAATAAATTGCCATAACTAAGCTCCACAACAAGATACAAGACTCTTATTTGGAATACAGGATCACATTAGGGAGGGGCATCTGCAGTTTAATTGGTTTTAAAGTGGGCGTGGTCCCGCCCCCTAATAAGTTTAATGTGCATATCTTCTATACCACTGAAACTATAATAACAAAATTCACTGGGAACAAATGTTTTTAGCATCTTACAACCACGCCTATTTCCCATATAACACCATTTTAAATTCCATCTGATTTTTTCATTTTCCACTATAAAAATCAAGCAAGAATGATTGTATCGGAGTAAAACTTTGCCTGAATAATGCGTTTAAAGTATGCCACCTTGTGACCAAAAATTATCTAAATGAAACCAAAACTGTTCAAGCCCCTAGGTACTGAATATGTGGACACCCAGTGCCTATAGTTGACTTTTTACCGAAAATATCGGTCAACATAGAACAAGGCGGCAACATACACAAAGAAATCTAAAACGAGTATACCATTTGACTTTGTGAGAGTATAAAATGTTCGGCTACATCCGAACTTAGCCCTTCCTTACTTGTTTTAAATATGTTTTTGCGGATTTAAATAGCAGCATAAGTAGCATTGAAAAATAAATAAATAAAATATAGCGAATATAAAAATTAAAAACGATAAAAAAAAAATTTGTCAAACAAACAAATATTTATTTCTTTTATTTTTTCAAATTTCTATAATATTTTATATTGTATTTTATGTTTTGTTTTTGTTTTTTTAGTTTTTATGTTTTCTTATTCCACTGAAAAGACAAATCCATTCGTAAACTAAGCTTTAAAACAACAAAAACAAAAATATTTATAACTGTTAATACAAATTGTATCAAAATTTTACACAAATCTTGCTAATAACATAACAAAAAGTAGTTTTCCACCAACAAACTGCTTAAGCACGAATTGTGTTTGCCCATGCGCGCCCTATTAAACACCGGAAAGGGAGCGCAGCAAATACAAGTATTAACCATTGCGGGAATGGAACAAACCAGGCCAATTCATGATGTACATGTTGTTGTTTTTAGCATTTGTCTAGCTGTTACATGCTTTAACTGATTTTTCTGCAAATTGCCAATCAGCAAAGTAAAAGTGTGTTTTTGTGTGTTTATTGTGGTCAGCTTAAATTTGAAACCGTTAGCGTAAAATAAACCGAGTATTGTGAACAACAATAAGATTAGCAAAAGTTATTGCTGATCAATGTTATTGAACGGATTGACAGAGTTCGAAAATCACGAAAACCTCAAAGTAAAATACCACAAAAAAATGTAAACGACACAAATAAATACGTAAATGCACCGGTAATTAGCAGCAAGCCATTGGAATTTGATACAGTTTACCGTTACTCACTTACCTTTACGTTCTGTGGTGTATCATTGAAAGTGATACGCCAAGGGGTGTTAAACGATTTGCAAAACACACATACATATGTATATGCGTGAAAATGAATGCAATGATAAAAATGCAAAAATTAAAATATGAATAAAATATTAAATGAAATTTAAAAGATATAACATAGAAAAATATTAACATAAAACATTTATAAAAAATTTAAACAATCAATGAATCGAAATATGAAATTATATAAGTTACAATAAGAGAAAATAAAAACTTCGGCTGCATCGAAGCACCCCTTCACTGGGACATTTCTTATAGCAACTATGTACTATATTAATAGCATTACTAAATCTGAAAAAAGAAAACCGGCCAAAGGTTTGCGTCCAAAGGAAAACGCTTTGCTAGTTCTTTCTAGCCACCTTGTTTGATATAACCAATCTTCGAGACGAATTAAAGTTAATTATTAAAGAAAAAAATATCTTATGAAGATCTTTATTTTGATTTTGATCGGTCATTTCGTATAGCAACTATACGCTAAAGTGGTCCAATCTGAAAAACATGTTTGGACAATTGTACCCTTCCTCTATGCCAAATTTCTTTCAAAGATACCTTGAATATACCATAAAAAAGTTTTTCACACAATAACTTGATTTTGATCGTTCCATTTGTAGGAAGTTATATGCAATGATGGTCCGATATTAACGGTTCTAATAAATGAACAGCTTCTTGGGGAGAATAGGACGTATACAAAATTTTGATATTTCTAACATCATTATATATGTATGTATATATTATGTATATTTTAGAGGGTGTGCGAACTTTCCTTCTAGGTGTTACAAACTTCGTGTCAAACTTAGTATGCCCTATTCAGGGTATAAAATTAACAAAAGGAATTAAAAAACAAAAGAATAATATAACAAGTGATAACGGAATATAAGCGGGCACAACCGAATATTAAATACTTATAGTAGAACACAACTTTGGCTAGGGGTCAAGAAGGAGGGCTTAAATCCCTATGAAATCAGGATCTAACAGGACGTATTAATAAATAAAGGCTTTGCATCCAAATATTAGTCACTGGAAAAGATTTACTGTATGCAATTTTCATTTTTGACTGGATTATTTGCTCGTTTCCCTTCTCCAATATATGTAGGCACTACTATTGTTAACAAACTAAATTTGTGTTTTTTGTTTTTTTTTTAAATAATACTTGTGGGTAAAACTACATATACGATATATTGAAAAAGTAAAACTGTGTATACATACAGAAATAGCTAAAAATTACTTTTAAATGTTATAGAATACGTATTGCGTAGTACCGAACTGCTATGAACAAGAATACAAAGCGTGTTGCTAGGGCACGGGACTGGGTCTCTTTGTATTTCCTTGTCGTTCCCTCGCCAAAGGACGGACAGAAAAACATCGCGAAATCAAATTGCCACATCATCTTGATAATTTTCTACATCTATTTTAAATAGTTTTAGGTCGAAAATGTCAAACAGAAGTGATTTAAAAATAGAAAAAAATATTAAAATACAAAATATGTTAGATAACAAAAAAACGTAAAATAAAATATAAAAATAACAAAAGATAAATTAGATTATCCATATACACTAGAAGTAATAATGTAGATAAATAATACAAGAATTATTTAATTAAAAAAAAAAGAAAATTCTATAAATAAAATAGATCATACTTTTGACAATTAGCTAAATGAAAATAACATTCAGGAACTACTAGTAGTAAAGTTTCGAGGTGATATCAAATATATTATGAACAAAATATTAATTTATACATAACTTACAACAGTTAAAAACTTTAAAAGCATCAAGAGAGATATTAGGTGCTACAAATATAATTGTTAGTGCTTTGCAATTGTACTAACTTTTAAAGCAGAGATTAACATTTTTTTATTTTACTTATTAATTTGACATATTTAAAAATATAAGAAAATTATAATTTTTTTTAATAAGAATTATTATTAATTAAATAAAATTTGGTGGATTCCAAATAAAAACTCTTCATTAATGAGTGAACAACGTGTGTTCAATACACACGAAATACAAAAAACAACAAATATAATATAAAATAAATATTATTAAATCATAACTATTAAATTCAAACAAAATAAAACAAAAATCGAAAGCAAATTATATTCGTACTATAGTAAAGTACCCAAAAACAATTCAAATTAATATCGTAAAAATTGTCGCCCATTGAAAGATAAGAAAAGCAAAAACACATAGCTACCCACAACTTTTATTTTTACAAGGCACAAACAGCGCAAGATAAACAACAACAATACAAGTATGTGTGGAACAGCAAACAAGTGAAATATACCGAAACCTGTTCTCATTGCAATTACTGCGCATGCGCAACGCTTCTGTAATTGACGGCAGCAACTACAACAATTGCGTCGACGCCAGCAACAACCTCAACCAACATTCGCGTCACCTCTCATATCGCGCCTCGTCATCACGTTTGTTTTTGTTGTAGTGATTTTTTAATAATAATTACCACATCTATATGTGGTTTTCTCGCACGTATATTTGTACGTATGTGTGTGTGTGTGTGCACCCATGTGAATTTGTGGAATTGTCCTACCGCAACAACACAAGTCGACAACACTCACTCCATGTGACTGCTGTGACAACAAAAAATTGCAATATCAACAGCAACGAGATATCACGACGCCTGGCCACAACAACGACGACCACAACCCGAGTATTACATAACTTTCAAGTTGTTCACGTATTGTTGTTATGGCTTGCTGCTCTTTTAATTTGATCTCTCATTGTGTTCACTCCAGTGTCTACTTGAATTTGTCACTCGTAATTGTGACACATTAACCCAATTCTCTGGCTTTCTTCACACAGATACATACGGAGATACGTTTAATTGACGTTTGATTTATTGCATTGGATTGATTTGACTTTTGTGCTCCATTTGCGGTCGATTCATTTTATTTACACCATTATTTATCGTACGCGTTTTTGTGGAATTCGGCTTTACTGGCATTTGTTTTGAAGGCGTTTCACAAACTAGTGCAGTTAAAATGTACAAAGCAACGGCGATACTATTGATCCTCTTCGGATATCTGCTCATCACAGGTGGGTTAAACATAGTATATATATATATATAGAATACAAATTTATATAAAACAAATATTGTTATTTTGAATAATTAAAATTTAGAAACGACATTTTTGGATAATATTTTTCGCTTCTAGACAGGCTTCTTAAGAATTTAGGCTAGGGTAGCCAAAAACAAATTTTAATTTTCTTTCCTTACGTATCGCTAAAATATCGTCCGGCTAACTTCAGGTGTAACCGAAAATTTCATACTCTTGCAACTTGCAAGGATCAAACCTGGGGAAAATTCTTTTCGAATTTTAATAATAAATATATCTGACAGTTGACCGATATTTACGGTAAAATTTTCGCAATATCTAGAGTGGAAGTAGGCCCTGGTTTTTGTCTGATTTCGCCCATTTTTCCACTGTGATGTAGAAATGTCAGGATAATATTACTTACCGAATGTGTTTGAAATTGGTCGGGTAGGTTCCGAAATATGGATTTTCACCTAAATATGGGACTTTGTAGTATTTTTTAACAAAACTGTTATATGGAGAGTGAGCGGGGTTATAATCCGAATTCACTCATAGGATGGTTATTCCAGTTTGAATGGTTTAGGAAATATGTACATTAAACTTATCAAGAGGGATCACTCCCACTTTTTAAATATTTTTTCCATAATGCAAATTGTTGTACTAAATAACAGACTTGTACCTCCTTTGGTGCCAAGGAACATGTGTACCAAGTTTTATTAAAATATCTAAATTTCTACTCAATTCTTCGCTTGCACGAACGGAAAGACAGACAGTCACTCGGAATTCAACTCGTCTCGTCATCCTGATCATACATCGTCACATCTAACTCCATTATTTTTAGTTGATACTGTGTAGCAACATGTTGAAGAGTATAAAAATCTGATAAAGTGGGCTCTAAATATTAATGTTAAGAAGTGACGATTTGTAATTTTTTCCCCCATTTAAATAAAAAAAGAATTTATTAATTTTTTAGTATTGTAAATGCATTTTAACAAATTATTGTCTAGTTAAAACGAAAATTTATTATTGTTGTACATTTAAGGATCTAACTAAATATTTGATATATTTAAGCTAAGACGACTTCAAGAGTCCAACCTTAGATCAGAAAAGATAATTTTTACAATTTTTAATATTCGGTAACAAATTTATTCTCAAATCAAAAGCATTAAAATAAAGGAAACCCTAGAGCAATATATAGGAATAATACAATAATGTGAATTTTTAAATTTAAAACTCTATTTGAATATTGTACCTAAAATTTGCGAAGAAGACCTTTATAATAAGGTAAGTGATATACAATCAAACGGAAAATATTTCGGATAAAAGCGTAGAACTATTTTAAGTTCCAAATATGTTATTTGCAAACATAAGACTTTTTAGCAAGCCTTTCTGGAAGCAAACATTTTAAGGTATGTCAGAAAGAACACAGAACTCTAAACTCGGAGAAAAACCATGTATTTACATATAAAAATGTAGGTTTAGCATTACTTTTTATATTTTTTGGCTTAAACAACATGTCAAATACAATGCATAAATAATATTGTAAAATAAAATGTGTTAATCTTAATCGTATTGTATTATCTATAATTGTACAATGCGTATAATACCTTATATTAAAACGAAATTATTAACACTAAATGTACGAAGTATAATAATTATTAGTAGTATGTGACGTTATTGGTATATTGCAAGGTACATTGAATATATAGTACAGTTCCATATGTGAGAAATAATAAGGACAGGGATGCATAAAAAAAAACTGTAATACATTTCTAGGGAGCCATGAAAATGCTGCCAGTTAACAGAATCTTTTATCACTCATTATTTATTTGATGTATATTAACAAATTCCGTTGGAAAAATGAAAATAATTTGCATATATATCGTAAAAAGCCATTCTGTGTTGTTTTGCGATTTAATATGTCGTTTTAAAATAACGAAAATATTTTTACTAATATTTTCAGGTTTGTTATCAATCAATTAGAGCTTGGATTTTATCTTTATTAGGTGTGAGAAAGGATAATTCGATGTGTTAAGAAAAATCCACCCATCAACTATCCGCAAAGTGCTTACGAAGGAAAATCTCAAGACCCAAAGCCAAACAAACATGTGCTTATGTTGAAAAAAAAACGTGCAACAAAGGCTAAAGTTTATTAAAAATCATGTGTAGTCTGACGACACAAAAGTAAAATTATTTAAGTCTGATCGAGGTATTCATCAAATAAGAAGACCGAAAAATGCAACCTACCACCATAAATACACGAAAAAAGACCGTTAAACATGCTGGCGGAAAGACTATGTTTTGGGTATTCTTTTTTATACATCGGTCTGGGCCGTAGGATACAAAGCACTATGAAGGCAACCGATTATGTTGCAATACTTCAAGAATGTCTCCTACGGTACGCTGAAGATAATATTCCACTAAAATTGTTATTTCAGCCAACGATCCCAAACGCACGGCTAAGTGTACAAAATAGTTGTTTAGGGTCAATGTATTGGAGTCGGCTCCTCAATCCCCGGATCTAAAACCCACTGAAAATTTGTGAAATACAGTAAAATCGTTCATAAGAGGAATGGTAACTATTCAGAATTCATGGAACGCAATTTCGATTTGCTCTGCCAAAACCTAGTTGATTTTATGCCGAAGTAGTTTCAATCAGTTTTAAACAACCATGAATTTTCAAAAGAATATTAAACTAATTAGTAATTAATATTAACAAAAATTAATGAAAACTAGTTTCTTTTCCTTATTTAATATTAGAAAATTTTTAAATAAAACAAAAAGTGTCTTTATTTTTTCACATGTTAAAATCGCGTTATTATAGAAAAAATGCTAACAAAATACAATAATTTGCCAAACTTAGCTAAAACTTAAAAAAAAATTATTTCCAATTTGTTCCCAAACAATTTGCTTCGTTATTTGCTTTTGATTCCTTTACATGTCTGTGAGACCACTGTCCTTATTATTTCTGTCAAAACTGTATGTATTATTATATGTATGTACGGTAAAATGTATCATTATCATTGCATTAGAATAAACACAACAAAACTCAATCTATTCTGTTTTCGCTTATTGTCTTTCAAGTGGCAAAACAAAGCAAGAAAAGCACCTTCTCTATTTGGTTTTAGTAATAAAAACGAGGCTTAGTGGGGTAGGATGACCTAAAATGTATACTGATTCCTCTTACTAATATGGGTAGTGTACCAAATTTCAGAAAAATATTGTGCTTACAACCGAAGTTATTAGACTTTAACTGATTTACCTGAACCGTTCATATAGTGATTTATGGCAATAATAAAACTTAAACTATAGAAAGAATTTAAACAATATGACCAAAACAAACAAAATATTTGAAACTAACTTAAGAAGTGTTTATGAAGAAGAAGTGGCCTGATGAAGTTTTTGAACACATAATCGCAATATTATAATCCTGAGATGAGGCTTCAATCAAAAGTTTTGACACTTCACTTTACCCGAATCCCTTAATTTCGTTTGAGTAGCATAACTCAGAACATCAATTGGGGTATTTCCTCAAATATTGTGATTTCGTACGTTTAGCTCGTTGTGAGCTTTCTTCTAAAGATTTCTCAGGCCGATCACCTTTTCGGCTTGAATTTTTTATTAAACAAATTGAGCAATTCAGCCATGTTTTTTATTAATTTCATTAAAAACATCTCCTTTTCGGAGCGATTTATTCCAAAAAAGTTTAAATTCAGATTTCAGGTGGTTCAATGTTTTCTTCAATTCTTCTTCAGGCACTTCCTAAAATTTTTTCGTTTTTCCAATTCGTTTAAAAAAAAATTAATTTTTCACCAATATTGATCTTTTCAGAAGAAAATAATATTTCGATGAGTTCCCTACGATTCACAAAAATAGTTTTTGAAGTAACACCTGAAATTAAAAGTGAAATCAATCACTAAAAGATTATAAATTTGGAATAGTATGGCCACACTGGCTTCTATTTGACGTTTCACACAACTAAAATAATAAAGATTAATACAGTTTGTACTTGTAGTTGACGTTTGACAAATATATAATCAAAACAAAGTAAAAAAAAAGCTCGTTATCTTCGAACTAAACCACACATAGACACATACCTAAATGCGAACAAATCCCAAAACGCAAAAAATCAGCAAAATTCTTTTTTTCAAATAAGTACATAAATATACGTATTACAGGTTAATAAAAAAAATTTCGGCCGATCATGCTAGGCTCACTAACTTTTTCAATTGTACAAACTTAAACTGTAGGAAAATAAACTTGTTAAGGTAGACTTCCGAAAAAAACGACCAAAATGTGAAAATCACAATTACATACAAAGTGAATATAAATGAACCTTTATAAAAATCCGATGTTGACGCGGTGCACTTATTGCGAACATAAACTCTATGTTTTAAGGCTGTGAAAAGAGAGATGCTTAAAAAGACATTTAAAAACAGTTGGTTTATTGATGCTAGGACATTCGACATTCGGTTGGTCGAAATAATTTTTAAAGTGCACATTAATCATTCCACGAAATATAATATTTGGACCCTAAATATTTACAATAGATGGCGATCAGTGGAAATAACTTTTATGTACTACTTTAGATTTAGAAACTGATCTTGTGTTCATAAGACAAACTTTATCAAATTGAAAGTAGATATCTTCGATTCGCCATTTCTCTGCTCGCTACATGTAAAAGCAACAACAATCGAGTTGAATTCGTACAAGAGAGTATACGGATACCTCATTGAATTGATATAGACGCTATCTTTAATGCTAACAAGTTTTGTTTTGCATATTTTTGATCACTATTACTATTGTGAATGGTTAAAATGACAAATGAAAACTCAAATTCCCTTTTTCTTGTACTTTTTAAACTAAATCTTGAAATCAGTTAATGTAACTTATTGAAAACAAAAACAAAGGGTTACTGCAACGTTTTTGAAAACAAAATGTATCCACTAAGAAATAATCATAACATACTGTTGTTACAAAGAATTAGTTATGTGTAGATTA